CACGACGTTTCGGAAACTGGATCTGTTTCCATCCTCAGGTGAGGGAAAGCACCTATTCTGTCAGAAAACACATCGGTTGTCCAGTGATTGAGGCTAGCTCTTTCTAAGGGACCCAACAGAATAGGTGTTTCCCTCACCTGAGGATGGAAACAGATGCAGTTTCCGAAATGTCGTGTTTTTTCTTAGTTATCTTAAAAAACCAGGATGATTGATAAAGTCCGAAAATCCAATATCTCTGTGTGTTATACACCATCGTCAGAAACCTATAGTAACTAGTGTTACTGAACCTTTACATTCTACAAAGAAGTTTCTTGGCTAGCTGATCAGATTTTAGCTTCTATTCCATTGTGTTTGTATAGAACTATTCTACATTCTAAAGACTATTAGAACATGGCCATGTCTTCTAGGTTGTGAGGCTGTGTAATGTACCATCTCCTTCTTCAGGGTACTCACATGTTATTAATAAATTTGTTTATGAATATTCCAGAGCAGTGTGCTAGATGGCTTTTACAAGAGTTTCTTTCCTATTGTTCCTCCTTGATACATTTTCTGTTGACCTTGGCTGTTAATTGGATTGCTTTTGTGGCTACAGCGTCAGTAAAGTTGGCATAAAAGAATAAGTCTTTTTATTCACATTTCTTCATGACAGATCGATCACATTGTTGTGTGCATGTCAGCCTGCTGGTCTTATAAAAAGAATAAATAGCATGATCCACAGGGTTACCTGAAAAATGGTCTGCTAGCTTACTATGCACAATCTGAAAACAAATTTTATATTAAAGAAGATAATTTTAATATAATATTCAGAAAATCATATGAGTTGCATCGTATCAACTCATCTAATTATGTATATGTAAAAGTTACATTAGGTGACAGATAATTTAAAGGAATTATTCCAGTTGTGGAGGTTGTATAGTACATGTAATTTAGAAGATGATTGTGAATTGTGAGTAGGTAAAAGCAAGATAGTTGTGGTCTGTTTGAAGGTACTGTTCTAGTGCATAAGTTAGAAAAAATGTAGATTACAGTTTTTTTTCAACTGACACCACATAGTCTGGTAGATGTTTACCACTGTTTCAGAGAATGTACTCATCCATCTTCAGAATGAAAGAGCCAATCTCCCTCTTCTACTCAACCAATGGAAACAGTATATTCATCTGAAATGTTGGTGTAAACAACTAACTGACTCTTTCTAGTTACATCCCAGAAGACACTAATCTTCATAGCCATTACCATGAAGACCAAAAATCTCACATAGGAAGATAATGTTGTTTTTATTTACATACTCTTATAACTTTTTTGATGTGAATAGATGTTCAATGTCTACATTGAAACCAGGAACAGGAGCAACACAAAAGCAAACGCCCACACAACAAGAAGTACATTACACACTCCAAAGAGAAAAAACTCAATGACAACGTAATATTCAAGAAGCTAAGAAGAAACATATATGAAACCTGAAAACCAATAATAATAATATGCATGAATAGCACTAAAAACAGCAGTGAACCCTGGATGACAAACACCATCTGTAATACACAACAAGTAACACAGAATTTTGAATTGTAGGGACAAGGTAATTTTTAAAATCTAAAAATTGGTTATAAATTTGGCAATAATTATATATATTATGATTGTAATGATTAACCCTGTGGCATGCAGTAGCGTAGTTGGTTGAGGCACTATGCTTACAAGCTGAGGGTCACTGGTTCAAATCCCAATGAGGTCATTGGATTTTTCAATTGACCTAACGCTTCCAGCCACACTATGAACCTAGGGCTGACTCAACCTCTAACAGAAATGAGTACCAGGAATATTCCTGGGGTTAAACAGCAGCCAGCACATAAGGCTGACAACCTCACATCCATCTGCGAGCCGATTTTCTAGAAAATGTGGGAGCCTCGATGTCTCACAACCCTATGGGCTTCCAGAGCCTGTTACAAAGACAGTTTTACCTTTATGATGATTAACACTAATGTGCATCCATAATATGATATTTCAATAATGTGAGACGTATTTAATAGAACTGCCTGACGATGGTCCTAAATATGGAGCGAAATATGTAGCAGTCATTAAATAAAACCAATGTATAGAGTTAGATTGGTTTATTTCTTGCTGTTGTGTTGAAGGACAGAGTACCACACATTAATTTTCAGTATATCGGTGTGTAAAAGTTAATAGATATCAGTTGATGGATGATTATAAAGTTACATTTTGCGTGGTGTCCTGAATTACACCACCTTGGATATCTTAAATATGTTTATGCTATGAGTTCATGTTTCATAATCATACAAACACTTGTGTGAACTGAGAGAATTAGTAACTTTTTAGTCACCCTGTAGTTTAGATATACTCTGTGCTGAAGGAAGATTCTGTAGCAGTGCAGTCTGTACTTGGAACTTGAGAACTTCAAGCAGATACACCAGACTACCTCACCTTACAAGCAATCTCAGTGCTTCCTGTTCAGTTTTCTACATCTGCAGTGTAATAAAATTTGGTTTCATAATTCAAAGTGAAGGTACTGAAACATATTGTAAGGCCAAACATTTACACTTTATTATATGGTAATGGTTCTCAGTACAAAATTGTTGTGATTATCATCTTCATTGTTACTGTTACCACTATCACTGCCACCACCAATGCCACACCACTGCTCCTGTGTCATACAACAACAACAAAAGCAACTGTAGTAATAACAATAACAACAACAACAACAGCAAGACTATTGATGATGATTATGATAATCATGATAGTGATAGTTGTGGTGGTGGTGGTGATAATGGTGATGATGATTATGAGATAATGATAATGATCAAGATGTAAGAAGCTTTATAACACATTTAGTGCTTCCAGGAAGTAATTGTCACCATAAGATAAAATCAGATTATTTACATAAATTGTGATTCCTTTCATTTATTGTCTTCCTAACTTACAGTATGCTGAATTCTTGGTCTTCAATGAAACTTTTGAAGTATCTGATTTCTTCCATGAAGTTCTATATTAACTGTGGTAATTCTGGTAAGAATAATTTACTTCAATAGGAAAATATACTTGTATCTGATTTTCTTTTGTTTTCCAGCAAAGAACATTGTGACCTGCAGCAATCAACAAAGAAAATTTACTGCAGAAAATGACAACCACAATTTTACTCTGCATTTTGCAAGTAATAATTTTGGGCAGTACTTCACCAGTTCCTCGTGATGTGTACAGAATAACATCCACAGAACAGCATCAGAGAGAAGCACCTCAGTTGGCAGTACCTGTTCCTGGATTTATGTGAATAATTTGCTTTCTATAATACAATTGAAGTACCCATAGAATAATGATCCTTGTATATAGATCTTTCAACTTAAGATGATTGTTTTACTTCAGTAAAGATTTAACAGACAGGCATGATAGACTTGTAACATCCTTAATTGCACTATGGGCAGATGCTTTTTATGACTCAGAATATGTAGCCAGATCCTCCTACTTGTGTATGTGAACAAAGTGTAAATAATATACATACTCCTAGTGCACCAATAATTGAATTTTGGTATACTCGTATTATACTTCAAATATTAGGTATAGTACCGGAATCAGGCTGTAAAAGAAGTTTGCTCCTTTCCTAACATTTTGCCCACCTACTAAGTTCTTCCAGATTTTAAACATTTCAGATGTCTGGAAAATTCTGTATAAACAGAAGTAATTTGTCATCCATGCTTGTAATTGTGAAGGATAATGCTGTTGATACAATATTACTAGTAATTACTTGTATATTGTCACAATTTGGGGGTGTGGCTATAGATGTGGTATGGAAAATTGGATATATTGACCACTTGTATACACCCCTCGGAAATACAGTTTGGAGATCACTGACCTACACAGACTAATATCCTCAGACGATTGCAGTCTCCACTAGCCTTACTAATTTGTGCATCCACTGTCTTGCTATTCATCTTTATAGGAAATTAAAAGTATAAGGTTGGTGTGACTTGCAATAATATAATGTTCAAACTGAATTTCATGAAAATCGGTCAGACAGACAGCATGGTGATCTAATAAGCCTACTGTTTTTTTTCTTATAAAACCAACAGGTGGGTACACAGCATGGTGATCAGATAAGCCCACAACCTTTTCTGATGAATCCTACAAGCAAAGGAAGAAATCATATACTTGATATAATTTTCTGTACCAAACAACAGTAACCTTTGAAAAAGGTACCATACAATGTAACAAAATATGCATCCATAACAGAATAAACATAAAGCAAATGTCATAACAAAATCAAGTATGCATAAAGAGTTCTGTCTTCTGGGATATAATGTGATATAGTCAACTGAAAGTCAAATGATATATTGGAAGTACATATGTATTGTCTCCATCTCCAAGGTTGAACAGTAAACCAAGCAAGATACCAGTATGAATTTCAACTTGCTGCTTGGTTCATGCTGTTTTCTCGCTTGTCTTAGTCTTCAACACCGAAGATGTTAGTGATATTTTCCTCCAAAATGTTGGTTGACTTTGACTGGGCTACACAATGTCATAATCCCAGGAGATGAAATTCTTCATACTCACCACTCTGAGAACCTGAAATCCTGCAAGCATATGTAGTCAAATATTTGTGTCTTCCACTGGAATCCACCCATAGAATCACCACAACAGCATCAAGCAACTAATATTATGGTCCCTAGCCTACAAATTTTAATGCCAAATTCCATTGTAATGAAAGTATTTGTATTTTACACAAAATAAATTAATCTCTTTCATACACAATTATAGTATATATATGTAAACTTATAAATATTAGTTGTGAAGCATTTTGCACATCCAGTGCAAACCAATTAAACCAATTTCAAATTGGCAACTAATAATATTAAGTAATAATAATGCTTCAAAGCCAAGGCCTTCTGTATCTGTTGAGTGAATGAAACATTTTGTGCCTTCATTAGGGGTATACCACTGGCTGCTTTTCCAGTTTTTTTTTCTGGAAGATTTCTTCTGCCTTCTCATTATGGTAATCTGAGCAGAAGTTTGCCATTACGGCAACATTTGGCACCAGATACTACAAGCAAGCTCTGGAAGAGACTGCATGGTCCACGACAAGTTGTTACATGTCATGGAGAAGATGGACATACATTTGATGGCTTTTCTTGTGGTAGTAACATATGTATACCATATCATTGGGTCTGTGATGGTCAGACTGACTGTGAGGGTAAGTGCCTGCTTCAAGAATGATAGATTCATCATGTAACTCAGCATATATTTGAAATATGGGCAAATTAGTGACTTGGTGATATCTGATGGTTTGAGGTCTTCTAGCTTAGTTTATGCCTTATTAGAGTATCAAACTACAGCAGATAATACAGGAGTAAATGCAGTTGAATTACATATATCCAGTATTCATGCAGGCACTCTTCTTATGGCTGAATTTTGATGTTTCCAGGAGGTGAAGATGAAGAAGATTGTGGTAACTGTGAAAAGGATGAACTGTACTGCACAGTACGAGGTGTCAATACCTGTCTTTCCCCACAATTCCTGTGTGATGGGCACAGAGATTGTCATGATGGGTTAGTGTCTTGCTCACATATCTGAGCATTACTTCGAATGCCTATGCCCCTACAACAATTTGCAGCTCTAAATTTATACTTATTCTAGCATGAAAGTCATTTATTCTGTCTGGTAAAGTTTGGTATTCATAATTCCACTTCAGATGCACCTTAATACTAACATATTTTGAGCCCAGTATTTCATAAACTTGTTGGTACCTTGTAACTAATCCTGAAAAAGTTACAATGCACCCTTAAGAACAATACCAGCCATCACATAGGGCACAATGTTGAAAATCCAATATGAGCTAGGTAATGTGATCAAAACACTTATGAATCCTGTGCACATTAATTAAATTATGGGAAACTTCTCTGATTTATAACTAACTATAAAAGACAATAAAACAAAACATTTTATGTTTATTTCAAAATATGATTAACCTTAATAAATATTTCTACATAAATATATTGTTATTATCATGATTACAGTTACAAGGCATGCTTGGGGATTATAATGGAAACATTAGGTCTGATCACCCATTACAAATGAGTCAAGCAAGGAATGATCATCATTCACATATTGAATAAACTATTGAAAAGCTTGCAGTCTGAGAGCCTTCTGTTCTTCTGTCAAAGAGTGCAGAACAAACCTAGTGCAGATCTTCCATTTTCCAAAATCTTCTACTAAGATTTTGCAAATTATTTCTCTGTTTGTTTCGATTTCCTCTTTCATCGTCTGATTAGTCATTTGACGATCAGTTCCTGAACTGTTTTGATCATGTCAAGTGTTCTAATGGCTGTTGGTCATCTTTAAGATTTTCATGGCCGACCCTAAATCTTGCATGATATTCAAAAGCCTGTGTAGGAGACAGAGCATTGTCAACATAAGCTTGTTTTATCAGCTGGAAAGTTTCAGTAGTTGTTTTGCCTATCTTGAAACAAAACTTAATATTCGCTCTTTGCTCCAACACTACGAACTGTCAAACGATCTGCATGATAAAAAATCTTAAACAAGACTGAGGATCGTTGACAAGACAGAAGTGACTGAACATGTGCAAGGAACACGATGGAAGAGTCAGCTTGCATGGACAAGTTGAAACATGTTCTTAAGTGCTTTCCAGTGCACGTAATGGACTTAGACTCTGAATTTATTTGTCAAACCTTGTAGAAACAGCAATCATTACTGATACACATGAGGGTTAAATTTGACACTTGAAAAAATATTTTTTTTTTAATCTTCTTTTTTATTTTTATTATATTTACTACAGGTGAATATTTGTCTACATGCTCTTGTTGCCAATAGGTCAGATGAAGAACCAGACAATTGCCACTCTCTATGTGAATTCCACTGTAGGGATGGAAGTGACTGTATTGCACACAGTTTGGTCTGTGACTGGGATCGGGATTGTTTTGATGGGTCTGACGAGTCTAACTGTGATTATCACCCACCGCACAATGACTGCGACCCTGAGTTTGAATTCCAGGTGAGGCAGCTGAAGCAGACAAATTCGTGACAAGAGAAGCTGGCGTTCTTGTGACTGGGTGTCACTATAGTGACATTTCAATCATTTATTTCATGTCTTGTAGCAATTGCTAGGATTAAACCTAGAATTCTTGAGATAATAATTTAATGTACCAACCAGTTAAAACATAATCAGTGTAACGACTTTCATTCACTTGAAAACAGGAGAAATTCCTAGAATGTAGGGTATAATAAATGTACCAGACACAATGGAGACTGTCAAATATATCATTTCATAATTTACTTTGATGATAAAATATTAGATCTTCTATTGTTTTTTCAGCTTTTATTTTTCATAAAATAAATATATATTTCAGTATGTAGATAGTGTCATTTTACCATGTGACTCTGGATCAGTGTTTAAATTTAAAAATGTTTAAGTTCTTCAAGGATGATTTCCAGACAATCTGCCAAATTCTTTGATCATCCATTTAGTGTTATTGAAAAATGAAATAGTCTTTTGACACTTATTTTTATGATTTTAGTGCTATGATTCCTTGGATGAAGGAGATTGGACACATTGTGTTCCAAGAGCATGGCTGTGTGATGACCATGATGATTGCCCTCATGGAGAAGATGAATATGACAGTACATGTCACAGGAAGGGCATATATAATTATGGGCAGTGACATGCTTCAATTGCATTTAGGAATTTGAAACATGACATTATATTACACATATTATTTTAAAATAAAAACTTTGCTTGAATTACTACTACCATAAGCAGTTTCCTTGTTGCAACATTCACAAACTCCATAGTAAACTTGTGCGACATAAAATTACGTAATATGGTGTGATGTAGATAAGAGTTACAGCCACTAATTTCCCTTTAAAACATAATTAAAATTTAAAAGACTAAAATTTTCGTGAAGTACATAGTCATAAGAAACATAGTAGCTGTACTGAAGTTAATAAATTTCATGTAGTAAATCATGTGACAGATGGAAGTTTATCATCAGTTAATGATACATCCTAGCAGATAGAAGAACTGAAGACAGAAATCACAGCTACTATAGAAAGCATCATTAAAGAGACACTAGCTGAAATTATGGAAAATGTCAGTTCCTTTTTGCAAATGATATCGGGTGCACAATAATCACACATTTATTTTCTTCATGTGAACAAAATTTTGTGTGCTTTATTGGTGTTACGGTATCAGAACAAATGCTGTATGTGCAATATATTAATAATAATAAACATTTAAAATTACTTAATTTTTTATGATTCTGTGGAGGGTCTTCTCGGGCAATTGATAGTTATTCAAGTAAAGAAGAAAATCCATATTTATATGGAACACAAAGGTTCATCACCATATTTCTGAAAGTCATCACTGTTTATTTACATGCATTTATACAGACTGAACTCTTTCAAACATGTAAGAATGTTGCTCTTTCCCTTCTGTGTTTTTGTATTCATACCCTTTGGATTGCTTTACATGTGTGCTTGTTTTATGTAAACTGTCAAATAAGGCTTGTGTGTATAAATTACAAAATCCTACAGGAAAGAATGCAATTATTTATATTCTTAGACATAATTTGCAATGAAGGATATCACTTTATATATAGTGCAGATGTATGTTTTATAATAAACTGCATTGAACTAATGAAATTGATCATTTATTAAAATAATGATATGAATATGGATGTTATGATCAGAAATAAAAATTTTTACCATTCAACTACAAGGGTTATAGAAATGGGTTTTTCTGATCATTTTGCATTGGTTATGAGTATACTTGTTCAGAGCCCTTCTACCTGTTTAAAATATGTGGTAAAAAGGATTTTTTTCAAGAAGAAATGTTGCAAATTCTAAGGATCAACTAAAAATTGAATTATGGGACGAGGTCTATCTTCAGTCTGATGTAAATAGTGCCTATTGTGTCTTCCTAAGTAAGTTTCATAAATATTTTTTGCACTTATTACCTTTCAAAAGTTTTTAACAAGAAAAGGAAAAAATCAATTTGGATCACACAAGGGATAAAGGTGTCTAGACAGAGGCCGCAACTTTACGTTTGTTAAAACGAAAAATGTCCCTGTCAGTTCACACTTTGAAGTATATAAAGAAATATCAGAGAATTTATAAGAAAGTAATTTCTGTTGCCCGTCGAAGAGAAAATGACCAAATTATTAAAAGATCAGTCAAAAATTCAAAAACTCTATGGCAAATAATAAAAAAGGAGTCAGGAAATAATTTTACAGAAATAGAAAATAGTTCTTTAGAAATAGAGTCTAAGTTAGTTACAAACCCACAGGATGTATCCCAAAAATTTAATAAATATTTGTAAATAGCATAGAAAACCTGATACATTTAAATAAAAATTGTATAACTGACCATACCACTACAAATGATGCAATACAAAATCCAAATGTAATATTTCTTGCCCCTGTTACTGAAGAGAGGTTATTCAGGTTACTAGTAAATTAAAAACTAAAATTTCAGCAGTTTATGATGATATGATAGTTAAACAATGTATCCAAACCATAAAAAAGCCTTTGACTTTTATATTTAATCTGTCACTAAGTTCTGGTAGTTTTCAAAATCAAATGAAGATTGCAAAAGTTTGACCTATTTTTATGAGTAATAAAAGTCAGAAACAAAATATTGCAAATTACAGACCAATCTCAATTTTGTCTTTTTTTTTTTTTTTTTTGAAACATTGATGTACAATAGGGTTGTAAATTTCTTAAATAGATTCAATCTGATATCAATGCTCAAAATGGTTTTAGAAAAAATAAATCCACGTTTACAGCAATTCAACCTTTTATTGGAGAAATTCAGAAAACACTAGGTAATAAACAACTGGCCTTTGGTATATTTCTGGATTTATCAAAGGCTTTTGATGTTATTAATCATAACTTGCTGCTTGCAAAGTTGGAACTGTATGGCCTGAGAGGAATATCTCATGCATGGATGAGATCGTATCTTACAGATAGATCACAGTTTGTTGAAATTTGCTATATGAATCAAAAGACTTCTAAAATTAAGACAGTTACCTCATCCCTTAAAGCAATTAAATATGGTGTACCTCAAGGTTCTGTTTTGGGACCCCTTTTATTCCTATTATTTATAAATGATCTGCCCTGAGTTATACATAATGCAGAGGTAGTACTATGTGCTGATGATACAAATATATTGATTACTGGAAAAAATATTTTATCATTAAATGAAAAAATTCAAAATGTAAAGACTCAATTAGAAAAATGGTTTTATGAAAATCGTTTAATAATAAACATGGATAAGTCAAAGGTATTATTTTGGGGGGGAAGTAGATCTATTCCAAGTACCAGACCCCTTTTTTATATAAATAATATGGAGGTGGTTTGTTCAGTGGATGTAAAATTTTTGGGCATTTACATTACTGAAGATTTAAGTTGGGCAGCACACACCCAATATGTCTGTCAAAAACTTAGCAAGACTACCTATTTGATAAAATCCCTATGGGACTCAGTGAGCCAAACTGTTTTAAGAAGTGTGTATCTTGCAAAATTTGAGTCCCAGTTGAAATACGGTATTATTTTTTTGGGGTGGGGTGCAAAAGGACTCTGAAACTCTATTTAAACTGCAGAAAAAATGTGTAAGGGTGATAAGAGGTGTTAAAAATAGAGTTTCCTGTAGAAATTTGTTTCGTGAATTAAAGATTGTAACTGTTACTTCCTTATATATTTTTCAGATCCTATGTTTTATAATAACAAATAAGATTTATACCACCCAGTATTCTGATGTTCATGGCTATAACACTATTCAAAAACACAATTTGTATTTTACTTTTACCGGTGAAGACAAATTAAAGATCTTCGCACAGAGCATTTGCTTATGTCACACACACAAAAAAAAAGTAAAGGTATCCCTGTAACAGGCTGTGGAAGCCCATAGGATTGTGAGATGTTGAAGTTCCCACATTTTCTAGACAATTGGCTCATAGATGGCGGCAAGGTTGTCAGCCCTACGCTCCCGCCGCCCTTTACCCCCAAGAACCTTCCAAGAATATTCCTGGTACTCATTTCTGTTAGAGGCTGAGTCGACCCCAGGGCCATAGTGTGGCCGGAAGGATTATGTCAATTGAAAAAATCCAATGACCTCTTCCGGACTTGAACCCGCGACCTTCCGGCTTGTAGCATAGTGCCTCAACCAACTACACTACCCCATGCCCCTTGTCACAAGGAAGTTGCAGGTTTAATCTTTCTTAAGATTGATATTAAAATGTGCATTCCTTGCTTTTTTATTTTTTCATACGAAATAATAAGACATAATGAAGCAGATTTCATAACTATTCACAGCATATGAAGAATGGAGTCCTTACTCCCTATCTGAACAGCCAGATCGAATGGCGTATCGCCCTTTATGTTCTGAATACTCTTATCGACCCCATGTCCCACCAAATGCCGTATCATGACCTCGTTATCACTGTACAGAGCTCTGTGAAGTGGAGTATTTCCTTCAGAATTACGAATATTTACATCGGCTCCTAGATCACACAATTTATTTACAAGCTCCACATTCCCGCTCATGACAGCTAAGTGTATAGGTGCGTTGCTGTCGATTGGTAGGAAATTAATATCCGCCCCAGCAAAAGCTAAGCACTCCACGATATCTACAAAGCCAGACCTAGTAGCTGTAAGTAACGCCGTGTCTCCTTTAGAGTTTCTTGCATCTACATCACAATGACCAGTGTGTAGAAGTAGTTTCAAAACATCCAATCTCCCATTTTCTGCACATTGATGAAGAATTTTGTTCCCATACCTATTTGAGAGGTTAACATCAGCGTTGGCTACTAACAAGGTTCTTATGACTTCTAAGTCACCCTTGGTTGCTGCCAGTTGTAGTGGGGTGTTTTTCTCACGGTTTCTAACATCGATATCAGCACCGTATTTTATTAAGCACCGTACCACGTTCGCTTTCGCTTGAATAGAGGCCAAATGTAGTGGTGTGTTGCCTTCCATATTACAAACATTGACCTGTGCATCGTGTTCAAGTAACGCATGCAGGGTGTTAATATTACCTCGCAAAGAAGCAAGGTGTAGAGGAGTATTTCCGTAATTGTTGGGTTTATTGTTCTCAGCTCCTTTTTTCAGTAGGAAAAGAACGGCATCTGTATTTCCGTGCAAGGAAGCAAGATGCAGAGGAGTATCTCCTCCAGCTGTGCCCATATTCACTTCTGGCAGCACTTGGAGCAAGTAATCTAGCATCAGGATATCGCCCGTTATAGCAGCAAGATGTACATATGTGCGTCCATCCCCTTCCCGGGGCATCAATCTTTTTCCAGCTCTCTTCAAAATATACTTTACCAGTGTTGTGTGGCCTTCTTTTATGGCATAATCTAGAGGACTGTCGCCATTATTGTTCCGGACATTCTCATCAGCATTTTTGTCCATGAGAAGGCTGACTGCTGTCAAATTGTTTTCCTGACATGCCACATGCAGTGGTGTATCACCGTATTTATTGCACGAGTCCAAGTCCGCTTTCCTATTCAGTAGAATGTCAACAATATCACAATTTCCCGCGCGGACAGCTACATGCAAAGGGGTATCGCCATCCTTGTTACTCTCATTGATACAAGCGGGTCCTTCCAATAACATCAGAACACATTCTTTATGTCCATGATTACAAGCCAAGTGCAATGGTGTACTGTTGTTCCAGTTGCACATATTTATTTCAGCTCCATTTTCCAACAGAAATCTCACAAGAGATACATGCCCATTTTCAGATGCGATATGCAAGAGTCCATACTGCTGGTGGGAGTATTTTGTGGAATGAAGGGGTGTGTTTATATCAACTCCAGTGTCCAGAATATATTTTGTTAAATATGTAAGTCCGTAAGCAGCGGCATTACTTAAAATCTCTTGCAAAGAATTACGGTTACGGAGTTTCTGTTTAGTGCATGTCATATCGTTGATATCGAATGTTTCTTGTAAAAATCTGTCTATCATGGACCATGATCCTGTCATGTCGGCATATCGTAATGCGGACCATTCTAACACACTGTCAGTAATCGAGACGTCTGCGCCATGCTTTATTAAAAGTGATGTGATCTGAGCACACTGGTAGTCACCCTCAGTGAAATACTTTCCTTGTATAGCAGCAAGATGTAAAGCAGTTCTTCCGCCATTGTCCAAAGAATTTATATCAGTTCCACTGGAAACCAAGTCTCTTACTTTCTCCACATCTCTATCCAACACTGAAGTGTGTAATTCGCATTGCTTAGCAAGAATCCTGTCATACATTGCCCACATTGTTTGAAGTTCTGTTTTGAAATATGTATCTTGAATAAACGATCTGTGGACCTGATAATTTTCAGCTAACCATTTTGCTGCCAAAAATACTTGTAGACTGTTGTGGAGAAAAGGAAACTTTTCTATGTACCTATATATTGTATCTTCGATAGTTTCGCGCGAAATGAGTGTTTTGACTGTTTCTCCAGGAAACATTGATAGCATTGAAGCGTTTGTAATATCGGTCAAATAATTATCCCAGTCTTTGTTAAAATTGGGATCAGTACTTTTGTACATTTCGAATCCCCATTTAAGATACTTCTCATACAATTCCATCATGTCTATATGCTCTGGCAAATCAATTACTTTAGTCATAAGTAATTTTGTATAATCTTTCTCGTATGCATGAGCTAGAATCTTAATATCAAATGGGGTGATTAAGTTCCCCTTGGCAAAAGATTTCTCAATTAGATGGAGCAAAGCAGTAGAAAATTCTTCGCAATATGTGTCTTCTGTATACTGCAGGTTTGTTTTCCACAATTTTATCATCAACATTTGTAACTCTTTATTTGACAATGGTTTTAAAGAGAAGGCCATTTTGGAAAACATATTCTCGATTGATATGGCTGTATAGGAATGGGTAGCGATGATCAGTTTCTTCAAGTTCATGATTTTCAGAATCCTCAGCAACTCTTGGCTCTTCTTAATTTGGCTGAAGCCTATCTCGTCCACCAGCACAACTGCGTTCCTGGTTACCTGCAAGCTATACTTCAGAAATGCTTTCTCCAGTGAGGAATAAGGAGAGGTTCCTAATCCAGCAGCAGACGATAAGAGTTCAATTACATGATTCTTTGTCATATCACATTTTTCTATTGCACTTTCGTGCTCATTCAAGTTTAATCTGATGACCCATGTGGCAGGGAACATTTCATTTATTTCACTTTGTAGATTTGTCAGATATGTAGATTTTCCTTCGCCATTATTTCCACTTAATATGACCGTCTCTTCTTTCATGTCTGTGAGTGAATGGATGTGCTTAATCTGGTTTGGCTCTATATATTGACGTATAATATCGATATTCCCTTTAGAGTTCTTCCATTCTAGTCCTTCCGTTTGTTTTGAAAGCCAGTGAATGGCTTTAAAGTTCCGTGCTCTCACACAGAGGTCATTGTAATCACGTTCCGCTGTCAAATCGTCAAGTAAGATGAATTTGGGGACAGCATTTTCAATCCATGAGCAATCGTTAAACTGACAAATACTCTCACCTGGCAGAATTAGATCTTGAAGTTCTTGTTTTGTCATCCCACTGATAGCAAAAACAGCTGGTAGCTTGCTCGTTCTGTGTTTGAAAATTTCATTGCGCACTATGACCTTTCTTTGTAGCATACGAGGAATATAATGCTCTACATTTTGAACATGTGCAGATCCTATGACAGGTTTACTTCCCTTGATGAATGAATTTTTAAATTCTTTTAGCAGTATTTCTGTTTCTGGGTGAATAGTTTCACCAATTAACGAAGCTACAGGGATATCTTGACCCTGGAAATTAACTATTTTACCCATAATGTCCGAATAATCGTCCTCCTGTGATATATTGCTTCCTTTTACAAAGGCAACGTCAGTAGCGTCGTATTCTTCCAAGATATTCTCCAAACCCAAAGACAAACCTCTCTGTAGCAAAATGCCTTTTCGCCTTTCGCGGTGCCCTTGCAAGAAAAAGTCATCTTCCGACGCTGATGACATCAGATTAGCAATGCCTCTACGGAGGACAATGTCGGACTCTTCGTCTACAACTTCTCTGCCTACATATCTATGATTGTTTACCCCTACTCCTTCGTCACCATTATCTTCATTAAGTGTGATGTTATAATTTAGAACTGTCTTTTCCAATGAGTCTCCATATTCTGTGGTTATATTTGTTTCAGTTAAGTCTTCTTCAGTGTCTGGCTCCTGTATTGAATCACTGCTCATTTGGCATAGATCTTCGGATTTAGGGTGCAAATCGTGAGTATTTCTATCATTTAGCACCTGGAAGAGAAAGGAAAATGTAAGCTTAGCGTACTAACGAATTTCCTTAAATGTATGCTCTTATATTAACAGCTTTAAATTTATTCATCTGTAATTATGATCCTGTCTCGTTCAAAGTTTTCACAGTGAAAATCGGTCAAATCTTGTTCTTTGAATTATTTGAAGTAGCAGAGGAATTACTATTATGAAAACGATTAGTTAAGCATTCTGAATGAATGAACAATTCAAGATGGCCAATGCAGAACTTTACTGTGATATCCCTTTTCGTCTTAATTGGCATAGCGGAAGCCGAGATTGATACATTATGCACAAGAACTAATCTGGCTTATCATTCACCGCCATTAAACAATAATAACAATAATGTTACATAATGGCAGGGAGCCGGAATAACGGAGCCATGACAGAAAGATAATAACATGGCTACCGCGAATCCTGTTTCGGTTCCATGAGGATCACTGTCGAAATAATACAGTTAGGCATGTGAACTGAATGTGACTGATTTTTAGGAGCATAAGTATGACTAGCAGCAGCACCAATAACGGCACTCATTTTATAAATAATATCTCGGAATTCTAAACTGTATTGCGCTAGCAACGAGTGCTCTAACTCTCGTGTAAATCTATCATCTTTATCGTTAATACTTACAGTTATATTTTTGGTTGGTAGTTTCTCGTTATCCTGTCGGGACTGCAAACGCTGGAATTCTTCCAAAAGAAGCAGCTGTATTTCTCGCTTTTCATCTTCATCACTAGCATCATCATTACTATTGTCATTGTCAATGTCACTTACATCTCTATCTTCACTCCCTTTACCCTTATCGAATAATTCTTCATTGCTCAATGCATCATTTTTGCTATCACAAGCTGAATATTCGGTGCTGTTTGTCTCTTTTTTATCGTTGATTGAAACGACTTCAATGTCCTTATTCTCGTTACTGTTAAACAAGCGCTGCATTTCCCTCAGTTGTTGTCGCAATTCCTGCTCAAGCATCTGGCTTTGTAAATCTGCCTGCTTAAACTCCATCTCGAGCTCGTGTCTAATTTGAATCTCCTCTTGCAGTTGTACCTCCAGCTGATATCTCTCCTGCGTCTCCTCCTGCCTCCGCTTCACCTCCTCTTCCAGTTTTTGAATGAGTTCCTGATTCTTTTGTAATTCCAGCTCTATAATGTGTTGCAACTGTCTCCGCTGAATCTCTTGTTCTTCGTTGTGTTCAGTTTCTTCTCTTCGTTCTGCTTCTATGCTTAGTTCCAGAAGCCTCATATCTTGCTCAAGTCGTTGTCGCTCCAGTGTTTCCTTTTGAAGAGCTGAAGTCATTTGTTTTCGTTCTTGGGCCTCTTTTTCTAATTCTTCCTCTAACTGTTTTCGTCGCTGAAACTCTTTTTTGAATATATCGACCTCTTCTGTGTGACTTTGATCAATTTTATGCTCCGCGTTTTGTAATTGTTGTTCGAGGAGCGATTTGTGTAGAATTGCTTCATCTAATTTATCTTGTAAATCCTTGTTAATTCTGAGTGATTCCTCCTGAGTTTGCTTGTATTTTGCAATTCTTTCTTCGTGATCTTTTCTCTCTTCTTGGCGTAGTTTCAATTCTCGTTCTAATTCACTTTTCATAACTTTAGCTTCTTGTTTCAAAAGGTCGATTTCAAGCTCTAATTCACTCTGCTTTTGGATTGAAAATGTCTGTAAAATAATAAAATTACGACATATCAAACTACTCTGCTTTCTCCTGAGAGTATTTAATGATGCTATTGACAGAATTGTTTACGAGGGCAGTTGACTGAGAAGGATATTTTAGCAGGTTTTAAATAATTATCCGACCGTGTGTTGAATAAAAACAATAATACAGCAGTCAGTGGCCCTAAATGTAAAAATTCCATCTTACTTAGTTAGATGTATGTATTTGTTCACATCTCATATGTCTCTATACCATGGTTTTTTTTTCATATCCTCATGCTCATTCTTGCTTTCCTGGATACTCTGTTTCTTGTCCCCTTATTTCATTGTAAAATTGTACCCAGTTTTTTCTTATCCAACTTTACAGTTTTGATCAACCCACACAGTTGCCTTATTAGCACTTTGGGTTGAACCCTGAAATCCTTCTAAATAATGTTTAAAAATGGTGCTCCTACCTGGCAGAAAATACACAGCTTCTCCATTAAAATGTGAATCTGTTAAAGTCATTTAGAAAGATGGGGGCACGCGGTAGCGTAGTTGGTTGAGGGGCTATGCTACAAGCTAGAAGGCCGCGGGTTCAAATCCCGATGAGGTCATTGGATTTTTTTCAATTAACCTAATCCTTCCAGCCGCACTATATCCCTGGGGTCGACTCAGCCTCTAACAGAAATGAGTACCAGGAACGAATTAAATAATTTTCCTGGGGAGTAAAGCGCGGCCGGCGCGTAAGGCTGATAATGTGGGACCCTCAACGTCTCACAACTCCATGGGTCATCATGGCCTGTTACAGGGATAGCTTTGCTTTTTTTACTTATATTTAGAAAGATAATCGTACGAAACCCACTGATAGGAAATACACTCCGTGGGCTAAGCGCAGAGTATTTTTATGTTGAAGTACATTTTAAATATTGTAACTATTATGCTATGAAGGGTTAATTACAAAGTTTCAAATGTTTTATAAATTGTGTTTTGAATAGTGATAATTTTGTGTAAGCCAAGAAGTGAGTTTATACTAACCGGATTCACTTCCAGAAGCTCGTCATCTTCCGATTCAGCCCTAGAAGGCAGATCGAGCTGTTGCCCTGTTCTGCTTCCTAGCAACCTCTCCTCGTCCGGCAGCGGCTCGCTTCTGCACCACCATGTAAACGGCCAGCAGCCTGCATTAAATATTCGAGCATTGTTTTTAATACTCAGATACTGTACTGACTCGTCGATATCGGTTCGTTACACTACTCTATTCGTGAATATATTTACCTGAAAGCACTGCTGGCATTTCTTCCTGGTTCCAGTTTCGGTCATGTCTGTAATGATAAAAGCATAAACGACAAAAATATTAACACCACGGTCTGTCCAGCCTGTTCGGTTTCAAATATATTTCCATGGAGATTCTGAGTGGCGTCAGTCTATTACGACGATGACGAATATGCTACTACTACTACTACTACTACTACTACTTACTGACTTGCTCATGGAGCTGAGCCCTTCTTGAGGCTGTCAAATCTGCAGCTACTCAAGAATTTCCCAGCATTTTATGGAACCCGAAGGTTCATTACCGTGTTCACAAGAGCCCTCCACTGGTCCCTATCCTGAGCTAGGTCAATCCCATCCACACCATCCCATCCTATCTCTCTAAGATCCATTTAAATATTTTCCACCCACCTACGCCTTGGTCTTCCAGATGGTGTCTTTCCTTCCGGCTTTGCCACCAATATCCTATACACATTCCTCGTCTGCCCCATTCGTGCTACATGACCTGCCCACCTCATCCTCCTTGACTTGATCATTCTAATTGTACTTGGAGAAGTGTACAAGTTATGAAGCTCCTCATTATTTCAATTTATATTACCAAGTTTCACACTCATACAGAACCACACGCAAAATTGTAATTTTTTACACTTTAATTTTTACCTTTTTAGACAGCAAACAAGAAGACAAAAGGTTCGGGACTGAATGGTAGCAAGCATTACTCGAATTCAGTCTCCTCTTAATTTACTCTTGAATTAGGTTCTAATTTGTTATAGTTGTTCCCAAATATCTGAACTGTACCACGTTTTCAAAACATATGTTACCTATCTTTATGTCATGTTTTTTCCCTGCATTTTTGTGACGAGGCAGCAACATATACTTAGTTTTCTCTGTGTTTTCTTCTAGACCAACCTCCGTAATAGCATTAATTCAAGATTCTCTGTTTTCCTTTACGATATCTATGTTATCTCCCAGTAGATTCACGTCATCAACGTAGATCAGCAGCTGATGTATCCCATTTAGTTTCAGTCCCACCTGATTTTTTTTTTGGAACTTCCTAATAGCATGTTCTAAAGAAAAGTCGGAAGGCAGTGACGATAAAGCATCTCCTTGTTTTAGAACATTCTGGATAGGAAAATTATCAGACAAATTTGTACCTATACAGACTTTACTATACATTTCGTTTAAACATATTTTAATCAGCCTAACTAACGGCCCTGGGAATCCGTTGCGCTGACCACGCGACACTCTGTATCCGCAAAAGTTTGCACTAATTTCGCCGACAAGCGGTGGTAGCTCGATCTGTATAGTTCGCTTGCGGACTAAAGCCACGGAGAGAGAAGAACTAATTTCGTGGGTATCTCAAGTTTTATGAGAATATTGTACAATACGTTCCTTCTTAATATTGTATTTAAGCATCCTCTTGCATTAATATATAATTTATTTCACATATATTTCCATCTTAAATGCAACTTATTCTCTATTCACCCGTCTTCCTCACTATGTTACTGTATGTTACTGCTCTATACGGCCATCATGAAATGTCTTCTATCTTACCAAAATTGTTGCACTGTATTTTAAAATTACGTATCGTGTATGAACACGATATTTCCTTATTAAAATAAATTGGCCTTAATTAAAATTACTTAAAATTAATTAACATCCCAGTGCTTTCCTTGCAGTCGTTGTCCATTCCTTTAAAAGATATTTACTCGAGTTTCTCTTGTTTTGTATTTATTTGCGCAGCAATCCCTTTGCGGCGCACCTCTTGTGCGTGTGATTTGTGCAGTCCTTAAGGCTGTTGATGTAGTGTTATTATCAGTGTTGTTATCTTTGGCTCTAGGTTCTTCCACCTCTGTCCCATCTGACCTCCTGCACTCTCATTAAATCTTATTATTGTGATCATTCTTTCGCAACCGTCATTGGCGAACCTGCCCTGTACAGACTTCTTAAATTCCACGTACCAAAACTCACTTTCACTTTCCTTTTGCGCGTCCTCAGGTTGCGGCTGGAGGAGACGGCCTCCAGATATGGAGGGTAGCTGCGAATATCTTGAATAAGGAATAACGGACGGCCGACAAGGGTGGTCCTCCAGCTTGGAGGTTGGGCGTGGGGCAAGGAACGCCTCACCGTAAAACATAAGCTTGTTACGAAATTTCACAAAGGGCCTCGATTATAGGATAGGTTTGCAAATTTTCTTTTAGTTGTTTCCAGTTTATTAGAATACGCTAAAATAAGGTTATTGCTGACGATGCGCCTACTCAAACTTTGAATGGCTTAAGGTATTGTATGCAAATTTCACACTGTCAAGACAAAAAAAAATTATATGTGATGAAACGAATTTGTCATATCAGTTTTATTGCCCGAGAATATAAGTAGTCAACATGGCGATGAAAATGCAGCCTGCTATCTGACATAACCCCAAGATCTCCCACACAGTCAGTTCTTAACGATTTACATATTGCCCATACAGTAATCATAACGGATACACTTAGTTTTACGAGTAAAATAAATTATATTGGTTTCGATTATGTTAATTTTAATGTAATTTTTAATGCGCCACTTCTACTCAGAGTCTATATCGGACTGCAATAATGTACTATTCTCAGCAGACTTTGTAGCACAATATATTTTTTAAATCATCAGCAAAGAGCAAGGGCACGCGGTAGCGTAGTTGGTTGAGGCACTATGCTACAAGCTGGAAGGTCGCGGGATCGAATCCCGACGAGGTCATTGAAATTTTTTCCATTTACCTAATCCTTCCAGCCGCACTATGACCCTAGGATCGACTCAGCCTCTAACAGAAAAGAGTACCAGGAATATTCTTGGAGGTAAAGGGCGTCCGGCGCGTAAGGCTGACAACCTTGCCCCATCTATGAGCCGATTGTCTAGAAGATGTGGGAACCTCAACATTTCATAACCCTATGGGCATCCACAGCCTGTTACAGGATACCAGGAAAGTTTTGTTTTATTTCTAGTGGGGTGGAACTAAGTCCCTTGTACTGCGGCCACTTCTGGCCTATTGTACCAGCCCCAGATGATAGGTGAGGGTGATTGTGGAGCAATTGGTGGAATGAAGATTGGCAGGGGAAACTGAAGTACTTGGAGAAAACCTGCCCCAGCGCCACTTTGTCCACCACAAATCCCACATGACCAGACCCGCGATCGAACCCGGGCCGCCGCGATGGGAAGCCAGCGACTAACCGCTTGAGCTATGGCGCGGCCCTACCAGGAAAGTAGACATCATGTATACGTTCTCTGCATTCTTGTTTTTCAGAGAAAACACGTAATGCGATATTTACGTATATTAGCCCTATGAAATCCTTCTGGCAACATTACCTGCTTTCAATGCTGCCGTATTTTCTCCTTGGCTGTCCACTTACTGGTGCCTGGAATTTGAAATTCAGAAAATATCATATACTTGAATCACAACTTCCGCCAAATTTCAGGAATATGAGTTGATGATATTAAAGATAGTTGTCGTATATCTGCACAGCATGCATTTTGTGAACGCGTAATAGGGATGTCTCACTGTTATGATGTCTTATATCTGGCTTTACTCAAAGGGTTATGTGAAGATTTATATGACGATTATGTGTTAATATGTAAACATCTTATTTCCATGGTGCATAGACGTAGAATGCGAGTATTTACTAAGTGTAATCTTTACAATCCAGTATAGCGTACTAACAAGTGATGTTTTCTTAACCATATAAGAATTCATAAATTGTTAATGTATGGAAAAAGAAAACCAGACGACGAACCTGTAGCAGATAACAGTCAGACATGTATGTCGAAACTGAAATAGTATCAGTACGATGAATCATATTTTTCTTTCTGTTTCACGAAAACAGCCTTAGTGTGTTTTGTTATCTCAATGTCTTAGCAGCTGATAGTAGGAAGCCAAATAAACAGAAGCAGCACCTTGAAAAGAAATATCCACTGTGGAGTATGGGCGAAAGTATGTACAGTAGAACTTGGTTATAACGTCATCAAAGGGACCTAAAAATAGTGTCGTTATAAACGAATGTCGTTGTAACCGAAATGGGCACTTCCACAGTAGCCTTATGTGAGTCACGTAAAAATCTACCAAAAACCGAGTTAAAATGTTGCATTTTTTAGTGAAATACGTAGTTAAGTACAGACTAACGTAACATTAACGTGGAATTAATATGGATTCTCCATATCGTTTGTACTGTAGAATTCACCAAACCAAATTCGCGGCATACATCAGCTTTTTTCCTTCCATTTTCTATTTCACGAATCACTTTAACTTTCTCTTCAATGCTTAAAACTTTCCTTTTCATTGCCATGTTTTCGCTACTGCACTTCTCTGGGTTTAGGCAGGAACACTATAGGGTAAGTAGACAATGTGAGGTCCTGTTAGACGAGATTCTAGGAAAGGAATGCAGTTAACAACCTGCCGCGTCCTCTTGCACTATTCACGCAGTCCCACCCCACACCCTTGTTTTCGCATAAAACCCACGCTCCTCTTGCAGCCCGCGGTCGTATTCTTCCAGGACAGTCACGTCAGCAAGTAGAGAAAGTGAGGGTGGGCAGACACATCGAACTTTCCCACGATATCAGAGAAATTCAGGAATGAAAATGACGTTACATACGAGGTTGATGCATTTGTGCATGTCGTACTAAGCAAGGTATAAAAACAGTTGCTTTATGAGGAATTAGTTCGTACCATTGAATATTTGACGCAATAGACAAGGTGTCGCAGAAACCGATGTTGCTATAACCAAGTTTTACTGTATTTATGACACCTAGTCGAGTGATAAACTTAATTGCTTCTATTGTCTGGGACATAGAAAACTAAAAAGACATTATGACATGTAAGTTATACAATGTATGGCTTAAAGCGACGCTAAATATTTACTGAATGCAGAGAAGAAACATCTTTCTCCAGTTTTGTTGTCTGGCATCACCAGGTGGGAATATTCTTCTTTGCCTGATAGACCATCTATTTATTTCGCTATGGACGAAAATCAAGTAAAGGAAAAAGACAATTCTATCACTCAATTGCACAGGATCTTTCTGGTAGTTGTTTGCCCCAGCAATAAATGTCCTGACGTGAGATACATGGCTCTCTCGGCCGTGACTACGTAGATTACCGCCTTCTGTCTTCCAAGAAGATAATAATCTTCAAATTCCATATTTTTATGGAACCTCAAGTTCATTATTATCGTCATAAAAACACATCGCTACACCGGGGTACATAATTCGTTCCATTTCATATACATCTGCTCAAATACAGTTTCTTTAAATTATAATTCAATAATAAATTTAATAATAAAAAAAATGTAAATGATAACAATAATGAGATAAATCACGTATGCATACTAATTCTGCAAAATTTATTCTCTTTAAACAGAAACAAACAACTGTTCAATGTGCTCATTCCTTACTCCTATAATTACCGTGTTAGTACGTGGTCCAGGGTTAATTTCCACGCAGCCGATTATAAGCAGCAAAATTAACACCACACCCCAGAACCATTCTCGGTTTTTCAGTGCTGCACTTAAAAAGCAATGGACACCATTTGAAACCCTAAATGTTGCAGCACCTCTGAACTGATCCTCCATCACAGGTTCTAGACTATCATGAAGCTAATTCAGCCATTAAGACGCTACGTGCTAATATCGGAGAGTTGAGCAATAGATAACGAAAATAAAGCTGTATGCTTACTCCATCATATCTCTTTTCAGTGATAGAGATTTGCTTATCAGTCTGTTAAAACTTATGGCTTATGAGCCGCGCCCTGCTTCCGATATCGATCCCAGATTACCTGTGAATAATCACGCAACTCTCGGCTGTCTGTTTTCTGATTTCTCTTTGGAGAATTACTTCTGCAGGAAGAAAATACCCCAACGTCCTTGGCTAATATTTTATTTTGGATTAATAAGCATCATTTTGTCGAAATAATCACCTAATATAATAACTTGCACTGTAACATCTAATGATGTACTTCAGTTTTCAGTGTAAATAGTTTCCAAATGCCTACTTTACAATTTTACTTAAATTATTAGTTGTGTTGTTTACGTATTACACATTATATTGCAGTTTATTGTTGCAAATATGTACTTAACGTTGCAGAGCCGCTTACAGTGCGCAGAATCAAATCTTCTCCCCTTTCCCCGTAGTTCGTTAAATCGAAGATTACTCCAATCAGAGGTGTGTATTTTAAGTTAAGCGCTAACATTTGGCACAATGAGCAATTTTTATAAACCCGACAACTTTAAGTTTCAAGCAGCATGTTGGCTCCAAAGGAACTGTGACACTGAAAACATTGTCCTTGCGGTTTATCCGATCCTGCCTTGATGCTGTACTCTGGTGCCGCCGTACATGACGTCACCTAGAGGGAATGGGTCATCACCGGACAAGGAGTTTGCTAGAATATTCACACTGACCTTCACACATGGAACCATCTCACTATGACAGTCACGTATATTCTACAATATACCTACACACTACTCTGTGAATCCCTTGCTATCCGTAATTATTAAACAATGTTATTACAATTATTTAGCTATTACAACAGTGGTATTAGAGAAATACACTACTAGAAATAAAGAAATTATAGAAATACTGGATTCGTAATGTATTTGCTTGAATGAAAAATTGAAAGGGAATATTTCACTCTGTGCAAAGAATCAGTGAACGACTTGACAAGCTCCATGTTGCTTCAGAATGACAAAGTATTGTAGCCGTAACTAAGCATTCCTCTACCTCTGCTGCCTTCCTCATGTTTTCGCGAATTAATTAGGATGTTGGGAACCAGTGAGAATTATCTCATAATTTAGGATGCTAAGGGCAGGCGATTGGAAAACAAGGGAGTCGGTGAACATGACATCTCAGAGATGTTTAAGGCAGGATATGACAGTCCAACTTCGACAAGAGACCAGTTCGTTCGTATCCGACGAGAGCTAAAGACAGTAGAGCTCCGAGCAGAGCAGAAGACACTTCACCAAGATTAGAGGTGCGAGAGTGTATAACACAGAAGAGGAAACGTCCAAGAACGTTATAACTGCGAATAATTGTATTTGTGAGTGTAAAGAGCGATCGTCCAAATCCAGGACCCACATAATTTCTTGTCGCGTTGCCTAGGAAACAAGCGGTTATATATTTTAATATTTTTAATGGCATTTTAAACATTTAAAGATCATATTGATTTACGTGTGAATCAATGGTGTTAAATTAATACTGTTGCATTATAGACGGAAATCAAGACTATGAGTTATACCTCAATGCAGCAGGATGCTGAGATAGTAATATTACTGTCATGTTTGCAGGAATGCATACATTAGCTGCGCCATGCCTGTGTGTGTCTGCTCACACTTAACTAATCTGGGACCAGATGGACGTATTTCCATGCAATTTGATCTTGTGCAGTTTTACTAAAAATTATCGACTTATTCCACTTTTTGGATAGAACTGAACAATAATAACGGGCCCTTCACATGAATACAGGTATTTCTGTGCTCGTCTTGAATGTAATTCGTTAAATATCTAAATGGGATGAAAACGTTATAGACAAAAATGAAAGGCGCACTAAATGTCCAGCACACTCCGTGAGTTGAACAAACTGAATTCGTATACAAGTACATGCTTTGTTATCTCACATCCTGACAGCCTTCGGACTGATACTGCTTAAGTCTTTATTGGAGATAAGCTTACCTTGCTCGTCTACCTCGAATGTTTTACTCTATTTATGAAAGAGCATCAGCAGTTAGAATTCACGAAATTTTAGAGACAAAACAAATTTGTCAGAATTGTTACGCTGTTTCCTAATATTCTCGTTCCTTACAATAACGCTATAAAGGTAACTTAAAGGTAAAGTTATCCCTGTGACAGGCCGTGGAGGTCCATAAGGTTGTGAGACGTCGAGACTTCCACATTTTCTCTAGACAATCGGTTCACAGATGGTGGTGATGGTATCAGCCTTACGAACCGGCCGCCCTTTACCACCAGGAAGATACCTGGTACTCATTTCTGTTAGAGATTGAGTCGAACCAAGGGCATTAGTGCGACTGGAAGGATTAGGTCGATTAATCCAATTATCTTATCGGGACTCGAAATCGCGACCTTCCGGCTTGTAGCATAGTACCTCCAACAACTGCGCTACCACGTGCCCCACATTATCGCTATAGTTTTTATACTCGTAATTCATACTGTGGCGTACAGACCTGTTGCTAAGCAGTGATTCTGTAAACAGCGACCGTCGCTAGGTAACGCCTGTAACATACACGCAAACAATAGAAAAACGGCGTTTTCTACGGTCCGCGCCCCGGCTGTTTCTGGGGAACAGCCGGTGAACACGTTCCCGCAGAAACGGACCGGAAAGCAACAGTAGAAGAACGGTGTGTTCTATACGGTCCGTGCCGAGATGTTATAAACAACGGACAAATTTAGTTGATATTTTAGTTCTGTACGGGAGACTGTGAAGAAAAGTGTTAGTTGTAAGAGTGCGGCTGTGAAGAGAAGACTTTATATTTGATATTAATTGTGTAATTCAGTGAGAATATCATAGGTCCTGTGTTAAAATCTGTTGCCAGGAAACGGCTAGTGGAGGCTGTAATATGCTGAGGACTCTAGTCGGCGTGAGTCAGTGATCTGTAAAGCGTTGTCACGAGTTGTGAATGCATAAGTGGTCAATAAATCGAGTCACCAATCCGAACCCCGTCCCTAGTCACACATACTGCGTGGCAATATTAATTGACGCAGCCAGGAGGGTTTTTAAGATATGCAAGGGAGAGGAAGCCGGAAAATTTTCTTACAAACTTACATTTAAGCAGTGTAAAACCCATGTTAATGATAAAATAAACTTGATTATATATTATTAATATGTGGCAATTTCCTTCTTTCTTAGATTTTTAAATGGGGGTATTGCAGGTCTAGTTTTTCCATCCCAACCGGCGCCTAAGCTAATTTCGTGCAATATTTTAAATAAATAATACTTATTTCTTGTAGTCTTTTTTTTTTTTTGGTCATTTCTCCATCGAAAATCGATGTGATGGCAGTGGTAGCTTGAACAACTATCTGGCAGCGACAAGTCTAAACATTCCTTCGAATTTTGCCCTCCGGTGCCTGTCTGTGACGCATGATGTGAATATATTCGTTAAATTGCGAATATTTTGTTGGTCCGCTGATGGTGCGTTCCTTATCGGTGATGTTACGTATAGTGTGACTAGACCTTTTATCTGTTTGCTATAGTCGGCATGTGCCGCTCATGTTTGTTACACTCCGTCTCCATGGGACGGCCCGTCTGCTCATCACACTCTCGTCGGACACAATATACACCTTGGTCCCCAAGGCCGAAG